GCGGGTGTCCGGACAGCAACCACGTTGGACTCCGATAACCCAGGCCCACCAAATCTATCCTCCTGGCCCCCATTTTCTTCCACTCTGCCACTTCTCCCACTTGCTTCACATCTGCACCGTCCACCTCTGCCGCCACCGATGTACCTCTCCGACCGCCACACAATCATTACCGGATGTTTACAACCAGCACCGACGCACTCGCCCGCCTTTTTCGACGGCGTTCTCTACCCTGGAGCTATTTGTACCCAGGTAAACTCTGACACCCTGCCGACAACCTCCATGGCGGCTACCACGCTCGGCAGGTGTTCGGTTAAATGTCGTTGAGCTTATTTCCAGATGCCATGTCGCTTTTTTAGAGTAAGAAGGATGTCGGGGTTCTCGACCATGGTCGACGAGTTGTTGTGCGATGCGTGGTTAGCCGTATCAGCGGACTTCGTAGGCAGGAGCAGAGAGGGGACCTTCTGGCAGCAAGTGCATGATTTGTTTCATGAGCGAAAGCACATTACGCCCTGTGACATACACATCATGCACGATCGCAATGTGAGGTCCTTATCGTATAGATGGTAAGCCATGCAGACCATCATCAGCAAGTTTAGTCATGCAGTTGCTCTGCTGGAGGTAAGGTGGCCATTGCACAAGTCAGATGAGAAGATTGTAAGTTTTGCCTCTTCTTCCTCAACTTGATGATTGAATCATTCATTCACTCAATATTGCTATTCATGTTTTGTAGCCCGTACGCGCTATCGTGATGTACCACAAGACAAAGGGACGACCATTTATGTACACACTGTTGGATGAAGCTGAAGGTACAACATGTGAGGGATCACATGACCTGTTGAAAAACTTGTTGGACATCTAATTTGGGACATTGTTGTACTTGCATCCTATGTATGGATCATTTGTGATATTTTCTTTCCGAACTTTGATGAATAGCAGCCGGTTTGCATGAATATGGTCCGCTAAGTCAAAACCTGACTTCAAATGCATGCGGGCAACATTGAATTGCTCTGAGCGCTCCCTTCAGATTTTTATAATTTTTCCGCACGTGTTTTCTGCTTTTTAGATGATTTAATTATTTTTTGGGGTTTTTCGACCTTTTGGTTTTTCACCGGTATTTCTTAGCTTTTGGACAAAAAATCGATTTTTTGCATTCTCGAGAGGCACGGATATGCTTTCACGAGAGGCACGGCCGTACCTCTCGGAAACAAAACAAAAAACACGTTTCCTTTTTTCCTTCTGTGAGAGGCACGGTTTTGTTTCCACAAGAGGCACGGTCCTATCTCTCAAAACGAAAAAACACTTTTTTTCCTTTCGTGAGAGGCACGATTTTGCTTTCGCGAGAGGCACAACTGTGGCTCTCGAAAACGGAAAAATGCGTTTTTTTCCTTCTGCGAGAGGCACGGATTTACTTCTCGTGGAGGCACAGATTTGCTTTTGCGAGAGGCACAGTCGTGTCTCTTTCGGAAAGGAAAAAAACTTGTTGCCGGTTTGGATTTTTCATAAAAAATGTTAGTCAAAACCTATCAACATGCGATCTAGATTAGAAGATCTCGACCCGAGGAATTCAATGGTGAAAACGGTTTGAAATTTGGACGCTCGATTTAAAAGATAAAACACTTTGAATAAACAGATCTAGAAAAAAGGACAAATTCCCATGTTGCAACAAGTGGGGCACATGCAATGCGCCACTTGCCGCAACTTGGGGAGGTGCGGGTGATCTTTGGAAGAATTACTTCTTAATTAGTGATTTTGGGTTTACGAGCCATAACTTTTTTTTGACTTTTTTATCTTGTGGACGGAGATGAGCTTTTCATGTGTGTATGGGCAGGCCCTGGTTTGTTTGTTTTATTCTATTTCAGGCTAGACTTGTTATTTCTTTTGTTTTTTCCTTGTTGTTAGCATAACCTTGGTCTCATTTTTGCTTTTATTATGCCTTTTTTCTTGGGTAATTGTTATTTTTTAGGGAGGTGCTTTCACATTGGTTGAATTTCGTAGTTTTTTTATTTCCTCAAAAAAATATTTACTTTTCCGTTAAAACAACATCTCCTGAGTTTTTATTTGCGTGTTTTAGGCGAGGTGTGCATTATTGAAACTGCACTGCCACAAGTAGACTCATGTTCGAAAATTTTGATTACAATTGATGACCGCGAAACTCCTGCGGGTATCAGCAACATAGTGGTGACATCGCTCGTCCTTGATCCCATCATTGACGGCTTTCATATAGATCGCATCGCTTCTCGGCAGCATTAGTTCTTTGCGTCAAGGGCACAACATGTCGTCTAGTTAAATGAAGGATTGGCCATTACACTATCATGGTAGATTTGCTGCAACACCCCTCTGTAGCGGTCGATGTCGAGGGTGATATTCTGGCCGTTGAGGAAGATCGCCCACGTCATACCATACCCCTGCCTGTGTATGGAGGCAATGTCGGTGAAGACGGCGTGGTCCCTCGGGTATATGTACTTGAGCGTCGTCTCATCGGCGGTCGGCTCGTACTGGACGTACCGGAGCCCCATGTCAGCCGACGGCGCACCAAAGGCAGCATTGGCCCCCCAACTCATGTCGCCCCACGGGACGACCTGCACCAACGTCGCGTTACGCGGGAGGAACACCAGGTTGGTGAGCCCTGCACCATGCACGCCCACCATCACATCGCACGAGTTCACGACCTCTGCGAACCGGGCCATGTCGCTCATGGCCTCCGGGGCCCCCAACACCACCTCAAAACCGATATCTGTGGCAGCTGCGACGGCCTCCGCCTCATTCGCGAATGCCCTTGACTTGCGGCGCAACACCATGAGGAGACGAGGCCTGTCGCCGGAGGTCTGGTTTACGGGGGTCGCCCACTCACGCTTCAACGAGTAGACCGACCGGAGAAAGTTCCGGAAGTCCGTCATCGTGTAGCCCTTGCGGGAGAGAGCAGGGATGATCCCCATCTCCTTATGGCTCTCGGTGCCGACGTGCACCGACGGGAAGCAACGCACCTTGTCGTCGACGTCAAAGTCGATGACCGGGTACATGGAGAGCGCGGCGAGCATGTCTTGGAACTTGTCAACCCACTTGTGGTTGTAGTCGGTGACCACAAGCTGGACGCGGCCATCGTACTCCCGCACAGTGTTGAAGAGAGGGATGAGACCATCGGTCATGGCGTGAAAAAAGTTGTTGAGGAAGCCGCCGGTGGAGAAGACCACCGCGGGGACGTCGTGTATCACCGTGCACCGTGGCGCATCCAGCCCGCTCCAGCGGATGGTCACCTCCCGGATAGCGTGCATCGTTCCTTCCTCCGACTTGCGCGGGTACGGGTGGATCTTCACTGTTCCATTCTCTGGCCGGTAACTGTCATCAGATGCTGAGACCACGTAGACGGTGGCGGATTTGCCATGCATACGGACGTCGCCTTGCATGGCACATATGTCCATGCGTTCACTGCTGAAGTCGCAGATTGACTTGCTTCTTGGTGCTGCCACATCTGTATCATGCACAAAAGAGTTACTCCCTTTGTTCATAAAAGTAAGATGTTTTGCATATTTCTCTATGGACTACTTATGTACTGAAATGAGTCAACAACAATTAAAATACCACTATATACATCTGAATCAGAAAAAGAGGCAGAACATCTTATATTTGTGAGTCCAGGGAGTATTTATTAGTACTTGTTAGAAACTTCTCTTAGGTTTTCTTTTTTCACTCTTATGAAACTTTAAAATTTCGTTGAATTATTCCATCATGGGTAGCCCTTTATTATATACTCTATTACTCATCAATCCGTGCATGGGTTCATACATGTATTGTGACAAATATATGTGGTTACTATTAGAGGTAGTGTTTTGGAGGTGAATAGTAAAAACAATTAATATTTAGAAAATTTAATTAGAATTTTTGTAACGAACATGTTCAGGCCTTTTACATGTTTGATACTTTTCATGAACAAAAGAAAGATGTTGTGGTCTGGGCAAAACAGAAGGCTCTAAACAGAGGCTACTTTTTAATGTGAACTATCTTCACCTACATCACAACATATGATTTTTCTTGGTAAAAAAATCACTACGTTGTTAAAATAGACAGTCATGTTTGTTAAAAAAATCAAATTTCTTTCACCATTTCTGCACCTTTCTTATTTACTGTTAGCCTGGGATCTTGTAGTGTGTCCTCCGAAAAAAATCTGAAATTATTATCATGCTAATTTCATATGGAAACTCAATATACGGTGGATAAGTCCCCATCTTCATACCTCTGAGGTTTTTGTATTACACATTGGGTATTTTTGTTTGCATTGTCATATTATTATATTTATTTCCGCACAACAAAATTTTATTGTAAACCAACCCATAGTTGGATGGATAGGAGGATAATGGTATCCCAAGCCCACCAGGGTTCAATTCCTGGTGCTTGCATATTCCCGGATTTATTTCAGGATTTCTGGAGATGCGCGTTCAGTGGGAGGAGGCATTCCCGTCGACTACGAGGTACCATAGAGGTAGGGTGTGTGTGTGCGCGCGTTCATACGGATGAATATATGTGCGTATATATAAGCGCTTGCGTTTGTAGTGATGGTAGTGATGTCGCTTCATATATATGTTTCTACGCTAGTTCATAAAAAATAGTATATACCAGAATCTTGTGTCACTATTTCCCATTTATTTATTTGCAAATGCCTTTTTTTTAAGATCTACAGACCGACATGGTCTACAAATCGACCTGGCTGAAACATTACATACTTGCGTGGGTTCTATTAACCTCAGTTTTTTTTGGACTATTGACCATGCATGAAGCATGTGCCATCTACGTGTCCACATGTGATCACTTTTTTCTTAATTATTACTGTTTGGCCGATTTCTTTTAACTATATGTGCTTCGAAATATATGAAATCTAAAGCTCGGGCTAATGGAATCTATGGTTTATGGTCGTCGGTGAAAGAGAGGAATAAGGTACACATTATGCTTGCGTAGTAGATGCATTAGTCTATTATAGGATTCTACTCTGCGAGGTACATACACATACATCCGGACTACCGAAGGGCTAATCGGCTACAAACTGGCAACGTGCAAGTGAATGCTTGCATATGTTAATACAAAAATGTAAAGACGTGGCACACAAATATACTCTATCTCACATCTAGTCTTAGTCGTCGAATTCAAATTGTTTGGTTATTTATGGTATATTTTCTAGGATTAACATGGTGGCCCCAAAGATGCCTCTAATTAGTAACTAGGAGTAATTTCTATGATATGTTGGTACTGTACCACTAACGAAAAATTTGTTAGTTGTATTAGTTTGTTTGCTACCAAATTCTAGTATCGCCAACAATTACATGTTTTCTCGTTGCCACCAAAGCGCCACAACCAAATTATGAAGAGATGCAAAAACCCAGTGCTTGGATATGCAGTATAAAACTTGGTACGTACCTGATTTTATCGAAGAACCATCTAATCCCGTGTTCATGGCTAGGAGCCCCTTTTCGTTTTGGAGATCTGCAACAGATTACAATATATTCAATTTATTCAGACTTGACTTTCGAACAAACTGACTGAAACGACTGTGTGTTCTGAGGAGAACAAGTAATTAATTACCTCTGTTGGCATCAAGGACGTCGCCGGGTGTCTCGCCGGTTGATGCCGGAGAAGGCGGTGCTTCGACAGCGGCAACAGAATTAAATGAAGGATTGACCGTTACACTATCATGGTAGATTTGCTGCAACACCCCTCTGTAGCGGTCGATGTCGAGGGTGATATTCTGGCCGTTGAGGAAGATCGCCCACGTCATACCATACCCCTGCCTGTGTATGGAGGCAATGTCGGTGAAGACGGCGTGGTCCCTCGGGTATATGTACTTGAGCGTCGTCTCATCGGCGGTCGGCTCGTACTGGACGTACCGGAGCCCCATGTCAGCCGACGGCGCACCAAAGGCAGCATTGGCCCCCCAACTCATGTCGCCCCACGGGACGACCTGCACCAACGTTGCATTACGCGGGAGGAACACCAGGTTGGTGAGCCCTGCGCCATGCACGCCCACCATCACGTCGCACGAGTTCACGACCTCTGCGAACCGGGCCATGTCGCTCATGGCCTTCGGGGCCCCCAACACCACCTCAAAACCTATATCTGTGGCAGCTGTGACGGCCTCCGCCTCATTCGCGAATGCCCTTGACTTGCGGCGCAACACCATGAGGAGACGAGGCCTGTCGCCGGAGGTCCGGTTTACGGGGGTCGCCCACTCACGCTTCAACGAGTAGACCGACCGGAGAAAGTTCCGGAAGTCCGTCATCGTGTAGCCCTTGCGGGAGAGAGCAGGGATGATCCCCATCTCCTTATGGCTCTCGGTGCCGACGTGCACCGACGGGAAGCAACGCACCTTGTCGTCGGCGTCAAAGTCGATGACCGGGTACATGGAGAGCGCGGCGAGGATGTCTTGGAACTTGTCAACCCACTTGTGGTTGTAGTCGGTGACCACAAGCTGGACGCGGCCATCGTACTCCCGCACAGTGTTGAAGAGAGGGATGAGACCATCGGTCATGGCGTGAAAAAAGTTGTTGAGGAAGCCGCCGGTGGAGAAGACCACCGCAGGGACGTCGTGTGTCACCGTGCACCGTGGCGCATCCAGCCCGCTCCAGCGGATGGTCACCTCCCGGATAGCGCGCATCGTTCCTTCCTCCGACTTGCGCGGGTACAGGTGGATCTTCACTGTTCCATTCTCTGGCCGGTAACTGTCATCAGATGCTGAGACCACGTAGACGGTGGCGGATTTGCCATGCATACGGACGTCGCCTTGCATGGCACATATGTCCATGCGTTCACTGCTGAAGTCGCAGATTGACTTGCTTCTTGGTGCTGCCACATATATATCTGTAAGATGCACAAAAGAGTTATTAATTACGAGTAGTAGAAAGAAACTTCTTTTTAGTTTTTATCTTGCCACTCTTAGAGAGATCTCAATTGCCGTTGGATTATTCCATTGGTAGTGTAAAACTAACACAATGTCTGTTAGCATTAGTTTTGTTAGGCAGATTTAACAACCGTCCTGCCGAGAAAAGGTAACTAATTACGTTGGCTTTTGTTCGCACTGACGATGTTGCCGGGCGTCTCGTCGCGTGGTGCCGGAGAAGGTGGTGTATCAACGGCCGCGCCGGGCGTCTGGTCGCTTGTTGCGGGAGAAGGTGGTGCATCGACGGCCTCGGCGGGCGTCTGCTGGCTTGATGCGGGAGAAGGTGGCGGTGCATGGCCGACCAAATCTGAATTAAATGAATGATCTGCCACATGGTCATATACTTATTGTTAGCGCCATATCGATGAATTAATCAGAGAACGATCAAGCTCATGGGCAGTATACATACTCGTGCTCCCCTACACCCTTCATGAACAGTAAATTCAAAACAAAATACAAAAACCCGAAACTTTTGAACATCAAACATGATCAAGTATTTCATGTTCTTGCAAAGTTTCGGCCACAAATAACATCCGAGGAGCCCTAAAAAAATCGCTGCTCAAAAGTGCACGTGTAGTTTGAACAATGAATTTTTTGGTGTCGAACCCTCGAATGTTATTTGTGCAGTGGCTGAAACCTCGCAAGAATATCAAAGGTTTGATCATGTTTGATGTCCTAAAGTTTTGGAAGTTTTTGATTTTTATATCAATTTTTTTTCGAATTTACTGTTCATGACGGTGTATGGGCACCCAAGAGGTATCACACCTTTCTCTTCATACTATGGGCAAAGAATCTGAGTAATGAGTTTTTCAGACGATGGATCGAAGATGATGGTGCACTCGTATAGATCGGATGAACACTCGAAACCTAAACGTGTGTAAAGAGCTGTTGCTTGAAAGCTGTAATTGAGGGGACTTACAAAGAGTTGTTGCATGTAATTGAGGAACCCGCGGCATGTGATCGGAGTTGAGCACGACGAAGACAAGGACAGGAAGCAGAAGCCACACGAGAGCCCTTGCTGCTGCCCTGCCCACAAGCTTCTTACCACTCTCCTTCCTCATGGCCTTGTTCATCTTGTACACTGGCTTGTTCACTTACCTCGAGTGAACAATGGTGGAACTGATCCTCTCAGACTTGGGAGCTAGCTAGCTAGTCGTATATGTATGCATGGGATTTAGTACTCTACTAGTAGTACAAGTGAAGCGTGGTTATGCGATCTCCTTCCTCAACGGGCTTCTCATACTTATCCAGACTGGGTCTCTAGTCTTTTAGTTGACTTCGACGTCTGAGTGTCATAATGGCACAGCTGCGCTAATCGAGCATACTATACTGCCATTAGCATATATGTCT